GTCCCCGTCCCCTGCCGTCGAGCAGCCGCCGGCACCCGAGGTGCCCGCCGTCAACTGCTTCCCCATCGCGTGGTTTTATGGCACCGCCCCTCTGGCCTGTGAGCTGACGTCAGCTGGCGCAGTGTCCGGCAAGGTGGTGGGCACTGGGCCGCTCACCAAGTTTCTGGCGTCGCACCTCGGCTTCGGCTGCAAGTGAGGGCGGGGGCTCGGGGCCTCTACTTTCCTAGCTTTGATGCTGTGCCACCAAGATGGATCAGCAGGGGCGTTGGCAGCACTAGTGTAGGAGTGCTCCTACCTCCAGCCAGCAACAGGGCTATAGAGCACCTGAGAAAACCATAAAGTAGAGCTTGTCTAAGGTGGTGCTTATCTCCGTGCGGGCGCCGCCCCTTCAAAATGAAACTAATCCTTAACCACGTCTTGGCTATCATTTTGACTGGACACCCTCGCCCCCGTTCCGCCCCAGGGACCTCGGGGCCTCGACCTGCGCCTCCGCCCACCCCCTGGCCACATTGTTCGGCAAGAGCGGCCGCCGGCTGGCCGGCGCTGATTTCATCCTGCCCCAGTTCCCCATCACTAGCGCCCCCGAGCCTTCCTCCACCGCCAGCACGGCCGCTGCCTTGGCTCCCGCGTCGGCATCTGCGGCGACTGCTGACGCGACCGCGACTGCGGCGGCGGTGGCGGCCGCAGTGGCTGAGTGCAAGTGGGCGGTCTGCAAGCCGGAGCCCAAGATCCCCCACATCCCAACCCCCTTCGAGGTCAAGGCAGCCGTGACGAGCGCCGTCCTCAACGCAGTGTTCAACAAGGACAGCGCTTGATGGACGCAGGCCCCGGCTTGCAGGCACTGCAGTGCTGACTAGGCGCCACATAGAAATGCTGGGGGCGGCTCCTTTGCGCATGACGCCTTGCTGCAACAGGGCACGCCGCGTTGAACTGTATACATTCTCACTGTGCGTTACAACCTCTCTGCGCTTGTGCCGTCCGGATCATATGCCACCGCAGAGATGCGGCGAACGAAAGCTAGGGGTAGCCTCAATCTGTGGTACGAACGCAGGCACCAGGCGGTGTCTCAGCCTGATTTCATGCTGTTGGTCGCCATGACTCAAGTTCGCACTCAAGTGGCTTGGGTTCACACACGCCAAAACACACAGCAATGTGTGACTTGGTGCGCTGCAAAATTTGTTTGCTTCTCAAATAGGCACTGCGCCCTTTTGCGCTAAAACGGCACTTGCAACACAATCCACCCTCTGACGTGGCCGGTAACATCTCTCATAGTCATCGTGGCGGCCATTGGACGTCAGCTTGGCATGGGTGTGATGCTCCGCGTGTCATCCAGGGGGATGACGCAGCCTGAGTGCTGCAAACAGCAGCATGCTGCCCACATACAGCAGTGTCAGCAGCCAACACGCATCCGAGCCGCGCAAGCCACGTGCCCAGCCCCGCGTGGGCTCGAGCGCTGCTCCCTCCACAACCCGCGTCGGCGCATCCGGGCCGCTCGGCCGTCGGCGCGGGCGCAGCCCCGGCCCTGAGGCTTGATCGCCGCCGCCGCGGCCGCCGTCGACGATGGCGTCCTCGGACCAGATCAGCACAAACCTGATTTGAATGTCTGAGGGATCCTCAATTACGACATATGTGTCTGGCAGCACGCTGTCCGCGCCGCCGTCCCCGCGCCCGGCAGCACCGTCGCCCGCGCCAGCCGCCGCCGCCCGCCGCCGCCGCGCGAGCGCGCAGGCCGCTTTATGGCGGACGCGGCAGAGGAGCATGCATCGAAGCCGGGCGCCCGTGGTGGAGCCCGCCCATCCCCGTGCGGGCTCTGCGGTCATCGTCGGCGGGGAGTCGGCGTCGAGCGTCGAGGTTTGATGATTGCATGCTGAACAACCACAGTGGCAGGGAAGGACATGCGTTTGTCTACCGCTCATGAAAGTGCTTTTGGGGGTTTGCAGTGCCATAACCACAGTGCTGGGGAGCCGGGCTGCCGGCATGCTTATGTGGCTGCCCGCGCGCACCTGTGAACGCAAACGCAGTGGACAGAGACGTCGAGGCATAGATTCCGCCGCCAAAAAGCGCGCCGTTGGCGGCCGCGCGCGTGCCGGTCGCGTTGAGCAGCCCCTGGTGCAGTATGCTGTGCAGCCGCGTGAAGTTGGTGCCGTGAAAGCAGTACACAGGCGGCACGCAGCGATCGTCGTGATCTTGGGCGCCAAGATCGCCAGGATCTTGATCTGGCCGCTCGACGCGCAGGATGCAGCAGCACTTTGAAAGCTCGCCCGCGAGCTGCGGCACCCCAATCTCGCGCGCGGCGTCGGCCGCGCCGGCGGCGCGCAGCGAGCCGCGCTGCGGCGCGAGCAGCAGCAGCAGCCACTGCAGCAGGCGCCACGCATCGCCGGGCAGCTGCGGGGGCGGCGGCGGTGCCGGCAGCCTCCGCGGCATAGGGGTTGAGTGATGGCAGCAGCTGGCGCAGCGGCGGAACGGCGTCCAGCAGCCGCCGCGCGTCCGAGAAGCGCCGCTCCCCTTGGACCGCGTGCTTTGGGAACGGCGAGCAGACGGAGGGCTGGGTGGTGGCGGCGGCGAACGCGGACAGCAGCACCTCGGCAGCGGCGAGGGCGCCGTCCTGTGCAAGCGCGTCGTGCAGGCTGAGCTGGAGGCTGAGCAGCTCCGAGGGGTCCATGCACTTTGGGTTTGCGAGCTGGGAGGCGGCCGCGACGCTGCGCAAGCGGCGCTGCGGCGGGGTGTGCTCGGCTGCGGGGGGCGGCGAAGCACAGGGACGCGGCTCGCGCACTGCCTGTCGATACAAGCCGATGATCCGTGGTGCTCACGGCGACACTTCCACCCCGTTTATCACATCAATTATTAAAGGTGATCATCACAGAGGCTGTTGAATCGCGTGCCTGCAGTATCCACTGCCTTTTCCGCCAGGTTGTACAACGTGTTGTGTATGTATCAAACACTATTTTGAGGACAATGTGATCCGATAGGATACCGTACCTTCAAATAGAGGTTGCACCACCACGTGTGGCACCAAGTGTGCTCCGCTGGACTGGGTGTGCCCCCAAGCCGAGGTCACGCCAGGCCGCTTGCTATGGAAGGAGAGCGCCACGACACCCACCTGCATTCAGTTGAAGCCTGGCAACAGCGCCGCGTGCTCAAAACCATTGAATCGGTCCTGTACCTGCTCTCTGTGCTTGACCCCCAAACCCGAGCTGGACCCTGGTAACCCAACTTGCATGCTGGGGCAATAGCAAGGCCATCCCCCACCCATGCCAGCTACATGAAGCACACTCAAGCGCCTCAGCCTTTCAACCGTGTTCGCTCTGTAGTATGCGTTTGTTGTAATGATGAACCAGCACTGGTTCATCATTGGGACATCGCAGGTTGACCCTGGTGACATCACCTTTGCTCTGCTCTATCAGCTCATGCAATGGCTCTGCGCCGCAGCCCGCCGGCGTACATGCAAAATCAGAATGCTGCAAAGCCTCCACAGAAGTGGCGCGGGGCTCGCCAATGCTGGCGGCGGACTATCTCCGGTTAGCAACGTGGTGTGACGTAGTCAACCAAGGTCGACCGCATGGAAATCCGTCGGGCCTCTTGGGGGTTCGGGGACTTGTTGGCGTGTGCTAAAGCAGCCGTCATTTATGTTACATGGGGACGTTGTGAACAGAAGCCAACTTGTGGCGGAAGGTGTTGTACAAAGGGTCAAGCAAGCACCGCGCCGCTGCGGCGAACATTGGGGTGTATCCGGTGCACTCTGGCCAGGGCTGATGCGCTGATTCAGGTCTGCGAGTGCGGCGCCAGCTTCACTGGCACCTCTTGCACTGGCTAAAAGAGTAATCATTGCTGGAGGACACCCACAACTGTTGTTGGCACGCTGCCCGCGTGAGTGGCAATCACATCAAACTCGAGCATTCAACGTCACAAGCATTAAAGAAACTGTGCAATGCAACCCGAAGCTCAGGCAGCATGCAGGGCGGCGCGCGCCTCGTCCTGTCAAGCTGCGAGCGCGCCTGCGCCGCCGCGGCGCGACTGGGTCCCACTGTGGTGCGCGCACTCGGACAGGCGGCAGACCTTGTATATCGGGATCGAGCTGAGCAGGGAAAGCACCAGCGCAACGCCCAGGGCCCCCACGAACAGGTCCAGGCACTCATCTGTCTCCAGCTTGAGGCGCTCGCATGCAATCTGGGCCGCCTCGCCTTTGGGGGTGTGAGTTTGGTATCAGGCAAGGGAGGGTCCATGCGATATGTTGAGGGTTCCAGGGGGGGAAGGGACAGCACACATGGGCAGGGAGGCAGCCAGGCGGCAAGTAAAGTATGCCTTTCGGGCATGGAGAGGCGCTTGTATCATAGGAGGCGGCGTAAGGCTGTGGCAGAGCGATGTGATGCAGTCCCCGGCTGTTCGACCCACCTATCACGAAATTGATGACCAGGGGGCACACCAGCCCCAAAACCGCCACGCACGCGATGCAGAACCAGATGGCCGGCACCGCCGCGGCCCCCACGCCATCGCCCGCCAGAGCGGCGAGCGCGGCCG